TTTGTGGCGAGACGCGCCTCGGAAATTTCCTAGGTTTTTACGTTAGATAGGGACGTCACAGCAGTTTATGCTATAGAAATCATAGAAATTATTAAGATTATGCTCTGAATCTAATACACTGCTAGCGGACTGCTATAATAATCACATCGCTGAGTGGTCACGGGGTTACTATTTCGATGAGCTTAATGACATATGGATTAGCCGAGGTAGAATGAACACGTTACTTTACATTTCAGGGCAAAATGGTTCACACATTTATCGTTCTGCGGTTGGCGCACAATTCATATGGGTAAATGGGATGTCACTTAAGGTTACTTATCATTAGTAGAAAATCCACGCTGGTCCGGGTAAGATCAGCACGGGTGTTTGCGCTATCTCACTGCAGGGCAGACTGAGGCTTGGGTGTGTGCGTGAAGCGTCCCAAACGGGGCTTCCTTGTCCCGAAGAAAACGGAGTGTCGTTTGAGGTGGACTATGTTAAAGTTCTGCCGGGTATAGATGATATAGCTGAAGGGTGTGGGTTGAAACTGACGAGCGTCTCAGAGCGACGTCACACAAAGCCTCAATTATCGACGTCTGCGTGGGGACCTCATTGAAGTATACAAGTATACTCATGGTTAATACAAGGTCCCCGAGAGATTACTAGAATTTAAAACAAGAACCAACACCAGAGGCCACGGCTATAAACTAAAAAAATTTTGCTGCAACTTCTCCACGCGGCAACATTTCATCTCGCTTCGAATCACCGACATGTGGAACAGCCTCCCCGATTTCATCGTTGGCGCTCCGAGTATGAACGCGTTCAAGAATAGACTAGATAAAGCTATGGAAAAATACATTTCAGATTTGAAATGCCTAGCACCATATCGAACCCGGTGGAAGTCTAGTAGCTATTTCAAACTATCTTCAGTCCTGAAGAGATCCGGTCAAATGACACGATTTTAGATCTGCTGTGAATAAGTCACGAAAAGTACACGAATCGGAGATAGTCCACATCAGGCCTACGTACTCTTCAGCGCTGACATCACTATGTTATGTTATGTTAATAAAGGCAGGAGAGTACATACAAAAGCACTCTAGCTGACTTGTGTAGAATTTTTGCTTGCGTTGGTGGGTCATCGGGCTGGGTTGTATGATTCCCGTCATGTTACTGATTTTGTCGAAGAGAAATAATTCTTTAGTTTGTCTTGAGCTAGTTAATGCCAATTTTTGCCTGAAAAACTGCGTGATTTTCGTGAAGGTGAAACACGACGTCCGTAGCAGAGGTTTAATGTAAAATTCTTCAAGAGTTTCATATACTTCATATAAGTTTAATAAGAGTATCATATATTAGGTCTATAACATAATTAAATATAGTCATATATAAAATTAAATAGTATGTATAAGAAATTAAAATGTGTTTTAAACAGGTGGTTTTCCTGGGGTCGCCTGCCGAAGACCACAACTGCCCTGGATACAATGGACCATCATGATTCCTGCCTTCCAGAACGTAGCCTTCAACACTTCAAGCCGTCCGTATCTAGGCCGTGGGTCGAACCAGCCCTCGGTCGAACGGCAACTTGTCGAAGGACGATAAATTTTGGAACAGAACTATGCTATCTGAAACCTAACCTCAGATGCGGGGAACGTCAAATTACGAAATTTAACGATGCCCAGAAGTCAGATTCGATCCGCGGCCTGGTGGTGCACGGCAGGTGGTGGTCAAGGCTGGAGGAGGACAAAGCTGAGTGGTGCACGGCTGATTGGTGGATATCCGGAGAGATCCAAGTCGTTCGATTCAGGGCTTATTGGTGCACAAAATTGGTGGTGCAGGGCTGCGCTCCCGTTTTCCTGTATATAGATCCCCTTTTCAACCAATAACAACAAATGAACAGTGGTAAGACTGCTTTGCATGACTCCATGTCCTTTGAGTCTATCTCAGTGCATAAACGAAATCTGTGAAATTTTTTATCCTTTACTGGATCTTCCGCTGATCCGCTTCTTGAATTTACGTGGACAAAGCGGATTTGTTTTGACGTTTCCGTGTACTCGTAGGTTTTTCTCCTCCAGTTCACAGTTGGATGCGTCTCCGAAGCTACGATAGTAAGCATCAAACATCATCATCAGTTCACAGTTCTGAGACTCCCAAATCTAACCGAAAGAAAAAAGTCGGTTTGGTGTCAGCTGCCTTTATTAGCTCACGATCTGCTACATTTTTTCTTTTATTCTGACTGAATTTCTGAGGCAGTCTTAAAACCATGGACAAATTAAGAAGAACTCTTACTGGACATGAAACATCTGATGAAGAAGAGAGGGGTGGCATTATAACGCAGGTAAAATTTTTGTCACCTCACTTATGATCTGTTGCTGTTGATAACTTGATGTTAGTGGTGTACTGATAAGTAGTATGAAATTATGGTAATGATGGATTGATGGTTAATATATTATTTTCTTTTTACCTGTGCCTGGGTGCCAGTGCCACCTATGTCTAGTCTGGAAAAGTCCTATTTTTGTCTGAAATATCGCGGCTCTAATTTAGTCTGGAAAAGTCCTATTTTTGTCTGAAATATCGCGGCTCTAATATCATATAATTTCAGTAGGTATGAAATCTCGCGGCTCGAATGTCATAAATTTTTGGTTTGATTAAAAAATCGCGGTTTGCACTTCGCAAACATGTCATTTCATAAAATTTTCAAGACGGAATTACCCACGATGTCGGAATATACCGCGTTTACCCTAGCTATTGTTTCTATTAGGTTGGCTTAGTCCAGTTCATGACTTTGTTAGGGGTTATAAGACTCTCATTAGTCTCAAACATGATACATTGCTAGACTTTTTTGTCACATAAAATGATGAAAAACTGTGTTGGTTATTAGAACATTTCTCTGAATCATTTGAACTGATTGATTATTATCAGGGTTGGTGATTTTTTTAAAAAATAAAAAAAAATAAAAAATCAATGATTTTTTTTATTTTTTTCATGATTTTTTTATTTGTTTGATTTTTTTTATTTTTTCAGCTTTTTTTTTTTAGAAGTGTCATTTTTTATGTGTCATTTTTATGTTGCAATTAGCCTACTAACAATAACAGTAGTATATGGATCATAATGAATGGCTAAAAAGGGCACTTATTGCCTTCAATAATGGCCAACAGGACAAGGTGGTGTTTACCACTTAGGGATTTTTGGGTAAATGATTATTGAAAAGTCTATTCATTAGCTTTGTAAAGTTTGTATGGAGCAAGGTAATATTGCTTCGGTTCAATACGCTGCAGTCTGTACTGCAACTCAGTCAAGTGCAGAAATTACACCGGCTGGATGCAGTGCTATCAACGAAATTTCTAGAATATGACATAGAAAGAGACAGGGCTTGTAGAAATAACAGAGTAGGGTACAATTTGTTCACCGTTTTCATTGATCAAATGACGTTTAAATCCTTGCATCAAGTTATAAATAATTAACACCTTCTGTCCAAACGTGGACAACCGGCGTTACATTTATGCTGTATTTGGTTCAATTGTATGACGATATACCGATACGAGGGTAATTGTTTTTCACTTTTGCTGGCTTAAAACCTTCTATATACTGCCGTAAACTCAATGAATATTCCTACTTGCATTTCGTTTGTCTCGTCAATTGTCATCTGAGGAAATTGGGTATCGCTATGACATAGTGAAACCCTGAAGTCTAACTAGTTCTTTGTACTAGTAGAAGGCTCATTCTTTCGTGGCTGTGAGCCTGTGATAGCGCGTCGCGTCATTTCTACCTAACGGGCGGGTCAGCTGAGACTGAGAGGAGTCTCCGGTAGCGGAGTCGCCGAAGGTGAATTTATACATTTGTTACGAATTATTTTAAGGTAAATTTGTCGCCAATATCTTCTGAAGGCATAAAATTAGCTGATGATTAGTCGCCAAAGATATTTGAATATTCTGACACTTTGTCCACAGTGGAAAAAGGCTACATAGTGACAAAACAGATACTTTTTTAGAATCCTACCTACCTATTTTATTTTCTAATTTCATCACTTACTCAACATTTAAACTAATATCTTATGTGTGAGAATGCTGGTATCCATGAAACTTTGCTGGACTGCTGGTCTACTTGACTACGTATACTAAGTTATACTTATTATACCATGGTCAGGAAGATGTGCCAGGTGCGCGGGAATTTATATTGTCATTTTAACGACCTGCGTGGTGCGCCGTACTATGCTGGTAAAAAAATGCGCCATGCACCAACAGCGCCGTACTTTTAGAGAGCTAAAATAGTTAAATTTGGACGCGCAGCAATGCAAATTACGTAATCACACTGACCGTACACACAAATGTGTATCCGCATTGTGTTGTGGTTGGATACGAGTTAACTAGATTGCTAACGCGTCAACTCAGGACTCAGGTTCTAAGAGTCAGAACAGTAATGAATATTCATTCATAGATCACAATTCAATTGGACATGAATTGCAGCCCAACTGGAAATTTAAGGTACCGAACAGAGGTACTCAAATTAGAAAATGTCACGGAATTGCCCAAAAAAGGATTCCCACTGATTTGGTTGAAGTTCTTGACACTTCTCGCGGAATTGATAGAATCGAAATATTGAATAACATCTAAATTTAGAATAAAACAATTGTTCCTTCATAAGTTCATTGCCTCAATAATAAAATCTAGAAACGTGCATAAATGATAAATAGTTTTACTGTATAGTTTTCGTCATGCCGTAGCTGCCGCCTGTCCCGTCACTTCCTGAAATGACGGACAACAAGCACGCAGATGGTGGATCCTCTTCCTACACCTATAATACGGACGTCTGGGGAGAAACTGCTTTCCATGGTTGAACTAGTAGTTCAACCATGCTGCTTTCAATCTTTATTCATTTCAGCAGGTTTACATTTTTTAAATATTATATGATGCTTTTTACAGGAAAATGTTCTCCACACTAATAATATTAAGACGCGAACATTACAAACGAAGCAATTTACCATTTAAACGCGGTCATTTTTTGGTATCTATTGACTCAGAACTTACTCCTCCAAACTCATCACCCACTATCATCTCCTCCACAACTGGCGAATCTTGTTGCGCTTCTGTAGAGGTTTCCGTCGTAGCTGCTTCAGTGGCTGAATGCGCTCCCACAAACAACATGCCAGCAGCAGTTGTCTCTTCCTCTACGACGGTCGAGCAAGAGGCTGCTCTATCCTTTTCTGCACAGTCAATGTCCTGAAATACGTTTGAGTATTATATGATGGTTTTTAAGAACAGATCTCCACATTTAAACATACGTCAGTGACGAATATCATAGACTAACTGGTAATTGATTGATCATCAAATTATGTTTTCTTTATGGCATGCAGCGAGAGTAAAACAGGGTTCTTTCAAAGTTGGAATATTACTCATTAATAACGACAAAAATTATAAGAATGAATTTATTTATGATGATAATGCAACACAATAGAATGTTGCCAACCTGAGCTTGATGCATGTGCTCATCAAGAGGAGTAGAGGAGGTCTGACCGTCTGAGTCAAACATTTTGAGGGAGCTGAGGAGGTCTGAGTCAAACGTTTCGAGGGAGTTGGATCCTGAAATATAATCCCACATACAATAACTTATAATTGCAACTCATAGCGAGTATTAAATCCCTTGTTTTAGTTAATCTCGACGTGCATAATACAAGAACACACAGATTCACAAAAGGTCATCAGCTCGTATACAAAAAAACATTCTTACAGAAAGATTGGTGTGAAAATAAGTACGTATTCACTTTATAAAGCACATTATTTCAATGATTGGTCTTAATATTGCTGATTTGAATTTTTTTATTCACGTATTTAAACTAACAGAACTGATGGTACAGCTGGTTTTCAAAAGGGTTTGCTAGTCATAACAAATAAGCGTATTTTAAGTAGCAAATAGATTACCGTAACTCATAAGTATTGGCTTGAACAACGATTTATTATTTTTCAGAAATCGGCAAATGATAACGTAAGAATTCTGAAAAAACATGCAACATTTTGAGCGTAATCTACATAAATGAAGATGCTACTTAACACAAAACTCACAGAGACATGGAACTTAGTTGCAAACTACATGTAATCAACAGAAGCCACTACAAAAGTTCCATTTAATGACAAGTCATGCACAAATAATACATTTTGTACGATATCGTACAAAGGCATGCGTCGTCAAAATGTTCCAGTAATTCAGGAATGGGTATGAAGCTTTGCTTACATGATGATACACATGATAAAAAATGATGATATGCGTGATAGTTTGATTGCCTTACAAATTACGTAATTATGTAAATGTATGATTACAACTGATGCCATTGATTTTGCTCACATTTCAGTATGCTTGGTGTATTCATATCATTGAACGATGGTAAGCTAGTTTTTTCGAAAGAGGTACTCGTATATAGCTATGAATGCGTGCAACCATTGAGTATTGATGTCGGGTCAAAAAAAATGTAGGCATCTATTGACCTATCCAAGCTTGCTAATAAAAAGATTTTAAATACGAACCATGAGAAAGAGTCTTGATAATATTTATTCACAGAGAACAATTTATAAATATTCAAAATTCAAATCAGTTGCAATTGATTCTGCTTGTCGTAAAAAAATTACTAATGTATAGTAGTCATATTTGAGAACAAAAACGTTGAAACAAATAACTTGGATCCCAAGAATTATGTTAGTTTTTTTCAGCGTTCAAATTGTCTGGAACGAGTCTCCTATAGATCATGTACACAAAAGTTAACGTTTTAAGGTTCATATTTATATCTATATGTTGATTTATAGAGAGAGAAACTGTGTTAGTGTTGATTTCAGCTATTCAGATACACTACGCATTATTAATTAGAATTTGTTATGTATAATGTACGCTGATGCTATATTCGCAAATTTGTGTTTTTACACGCATATATCTTCTGTGTACACATTAGGACTTAGATAACTTACCAATGTGTGTAGACATAATGCAGGTATTGCATTCAACGGGTTGACAGTGATGACACAACTGTAGGCAACAAGTTAGAAAATTTCAAACAAGTCAATACGAGCTACAGTGAGCCTTCATTGCTCATAGAAACAGTACATCTGAAGCATATCACATAAAGCAATGACAGTTACGAAATTCAAGCAAAGCGAACAAAAAAAAATAAAAAAAAAATTCCTTTCAAGTTTGGCCGAAGATAGATTTACTACTAAAATATAGGCAGTAAGAAAAAAGCAATAATCTAAGCATGAATAACAATTGGGTTCCTCACACTCGAGCCAGAGCAACGTTGCTTGGTTGCTAGATTGCTTTTACTAGATGCCTTCACCTTCCACTGCTGCCATTTCAGAAAAGCATCTCTTGCTTTTACATCTCTCGGAGAAATAAATTCTACGTTCGGTACTACATTTTTATGCTGGTTTTTCTTGTGTATGTTCCTAGTGCTTAAGTTATCTCTGTTCAAAGAATAGAGCCAAGGACTCTTCCCTGCTTTGTAGCAATTGTAACAGTAAAGAGCTGGAGAACCGACTGTTGACGAGACATTCTCTGACGAACCCCTCAGAAAGGTCCAGCCTGACACGATGAATATTGCAATAATAATTTATAACCCAAACATGGAAAGTTGAAAGGAGCAGGGAAAATAATCTAAAGAATTTAAAGCATGTTATTTTATCTGCCAATGGTGTGGCTAAGTCATTATTCTGTTCTATAAGTGGGATTATTTTCTTTGCGAGTAAAACAGTAAAGTGAAAATTACATGAATTTATACAACGTACAAAAATCCATTTAAGGCAGCATGTTTTTAAAAAAGTAAACTTCGTGACGAACATACGAACATTTATCCTTGCCTTCGCACGTATGTTGACACACACGAAACACGTTTAGCCAAATATTGTCGCGTCAGGAATATAAAAAATATACTTTTTTGGACAGTTCATACGAAAGTGTAAAAGAACCTTGAGCTGTGGTTCCAGAAGGACCAGGATTTTCATCAGCTGGACCTGCTGGCTTCTCTTCTCCATCGCAGCCCGAAGTCTCGTCGGCAAGAGCATCGGCCATTGCACCACACCCTGCAAAGCACGAGTTCATCAGCGCCATAGTTTTAAGCAACATTGACGAGGCTAATTTGATATCGCACTAGCTTTAAACTATTTCCATGAAATGATAAGTCATTATTTATAGGATTAAGTTTAATCCATGCATCATATATAATCTAGATCTAGTATATTGAACAATGCATCTTCTTATTTAATGCGAATATAACCAACCATGTAAGATGTTGTGTTTTAATCGACAAAATAGTGGAAATCGAAAGCATTAGACAAAACAAATGTTCGAAATGCAAGAATACATCAGCTAGTAATGAAGCACATCATTTCATTATCAGTCTTCAAGAAGAGTGCTTCATGTAGAATTTGATATCGCCTATTCATTTTGATATCGCCTATATAACAGTGTGCTGAGGTACGCAAAAGATGAACAATATTAACATTATATCACATGGAAAAAAGTGTGAGCGCGTGACTAACTCGTATGCTCATGAAGCCATCCCAGCTGATGCATGCACACCGCAGCAGCCAACACGATAGTTCTAACATCAGTAACGTTTACTAAACTCTTGCTTCACCTTGCTTGAATCAATATCCACATATCTCTGGTACGAGGTTTGGCACCAATGAAAATTACACTAGCGTGAGAAAAACTCTATTATACATCCAGCTAAGCTAAATTCTTTTCAAGAGATGCCTTAACTTCATTTGAGAATTAATTAAAGTGAAAGAATTTGAGGATCTAGCTTAATCATGAATTCTTGACTAGTTTCCGCTTTACTGGAAAATCGTTGAGATAATTTACGCGATAAACCATTGGTTTTATGTAGAGATGGTTGAAATCAAGTTTAAATAACATCGTAATGACTGTATCACTGTTCTATGAGAATGAGATTCCACCCCCCAGAATGAGAATGCCACACCCGATCGCACTGAAAAGAACATGCTCATTCTTCCTTGAATACAATAAAGCACTTCAGAACAAATATAATTAATTTATTCGGTTGCAAAAATATATCAACTCACTGTTTAATAGAGTAGATTGTTCGAAAGATCCGAAATTCTTGAAAATTATGAAGTTGCCGGTAGTAGCACGAAAGCCGACCAACCTATACTATAGCGATCGAAGTCAATTGTTTCAATCAGTGTGATGTTGCAAAGCCGCTGTCCACCGAGTTGTGCGTCGTCCGTTGCGTTCAAGTTATGGTTGTTCCATGAGCTATACCGCGAGCGTGAACGTTGCTCTCGGTACGTTAGCTTGCTGCTCGTGATTCGTGAACTTTCCGGCTGAGATTCCGCGGATTTTGTCACGGCGACAATGCGCGGAATTGAGTTATAATTCACTTGTAATTTTACACATCCTGCAGAATTAGTGTGAATATTTGCAATTACGCAGCATGTTGCGGATTTAATTACAGGCGTATCAGTAAGTCTGATGTCGCGTTATTTCCAGTCCTGAATTACAGAACTAAAGAAGGCAACATGGCTTTTGATGTGCCATCGGTGCCTTGACTGCCTTCTAATGAATGACTGGACTGGTTGCAGGGTTGGCAGTGATTAAATCAAAATGATTAAACCATGTGATTAAATCACTTGATTTTTTTATAAAAAAATCGTGATTTTTTTGATTTTTTCGATTTTTTTGATTTTTTTGATTTTTTCATATAATTAAATATATTGAGTGGCAGTCTTTAATTTATATTGAGGTATTGTTATTCATGGTTTAGTATAAATGTACTATGAATGACAAATTGGTATATAAACTTGTTGCCTTTAGTGTGTATTAGGTTCCAATAAATTGAATGTTT